CATAGAAGTGGTATACTTTGTCACTGAGAGCACGGCCAGAGTATACCACAGTAGTGGTATAGTCTGTCACTGAGAGCACGGCCAGAGTATACCATAGTAGTGGTATACTCTGTCACTGAGAGCACGGCCAGAGTATACCATAGTAGTGGTATACTCTGTTATTGAGAGCACGGCCAGAGTATACCATAGTAGTGGTATACTCTGTTATTGAGAGTACGGCCAGAGTATACCATAGTAGTGGTATACTCTGTCACTGAGAGCACGGCCAGAGTATACCATAGTAATGGTATATTCTGTTATTGAGAGCACGGCCAGAGTATACCATAGTAGTGGTATACTCTGTTATTGAGAGTACGGTCAGAGTATACCATAGTAGTGGTATACTTTGTCACTGAGAGCACGGCCAGAGTATACCATAGTAGTGGTAAACTCTGTTATTGAGAGTACGGCCAGAGTATACCATAGAAGTGGTATACTTTGTCACTGAGAGCACGGCCAGAGTATACCACAGTAGTGGTAAACTCTGTTATTGAGAGTACGGCCAGAGTATACCATAGAAGTGGTATACTTTGTCACTGAGAGCACGGCCAGAGTATACCATAGCAGTGGTATACGGAGGTTATTAAGGCCAACACAATAACTTAGTAATTAACAGGCAGGTACACTTTATAGGTCTAAACATTGCCTAGGACTAAAGTCTGGCAGGCGTCCTGCAGTCTCAGGAGACTATGGAGTTGTGCTCTGGTTGTCGGTCTCGAGTGGCCTCTCCAGGGCGCAAAGTCTGGGTTGGTCAATATGGAGGAGAAGCTGTTACCCATGCAGCAGGTCCCCCTCCTCTCCTCTCTCCATGATGCTGGACTAAAGTAATCTCTCGTTAAATATACTCCGAAAAGCGAGTTTTACACATTCCGGTGTATTTCTTTTTCGGTTCACACCGAGAAGTTAGGTATACTTGTCACTGAATACCGTCTCTTCCATGAGTGCTAAGATGATAAACAAATGTCTTAGCTATTTATCCAAGCTTTGAATGACCTGGAAATAAGTAAGCAAAACTCTTAGGAAGAAGCTACAAAGATGAGGGAGACGAAACATGTGGATCACAAATATAAAGTAATCTGAAGACAGTTATGAATTAAGTCATGAGTAAGCTAGACGTGAATCATGAATAAGTTGTTGGAGGAGCGTGCGGTGATGAAGCTACAGAGCCCGCACGTGTACTGATTACTAATAATAATTTCCAGTCAGTGTTTACAACTCATGGCACGGAGCCGCCAGACCCAGACACCAACCACATGAGAGAGAGAGAGAGAGAAAAAAGGTAAGATTAAATCATTTAAATAGCCGGTGACATGGGCAGTAATTCACGTGGGAGGCTCTGGTGGGACTCCCAAGTGACTCCCATATTGTCTCCTACCACCCCCCCCCCTCACCCACTTGTATTCATTTGATTTTATTTCAAACGTTATTACACAAAATGGGTTACAACATTGGTTAAGTAGATGGTACAAAGTTAGCTGTCACAGGCTCTCGAGCGAGGCGCGAACATAGCCACTATAAAACACACACAAAAAAGTGAACAAAACATGCCATTTAATTAACCAGAAAACAAATGAAAGAAGCAATAAGAGAGGGCATAGTGAGGACTTCAGAAGAAGGACTAAAAGTAAAACGCACACTACCAAAGTACCATATCACCACTTGAAAGCACCACTGGAATGCAACTGTAACGAACACCCCGGTGCATGAAGAACAGCTGAGAGGACCAGGGGGGGAAACTGTCGAGCTGCAACACAGGCAAAGCAACGGTTATGTCTAGCAGTCTCTGCGTTGATGCACCACCAAGTCCACCTTAAAACGCCTGCTGGCCATTTTCCAAGGTAAGACACCACGAGGACAGACAAAATATGAAGGGGAAAATCAGGAATAACTCAAGGAGAGATGGAAGGGAAAATGACGAGGAGAAATATGGTGAAGAAATAATTGGCTAAAGAGATCCAAGAAACATGTTATCCTGCCTTCTTCCCTTCCAGTGATACTATCCTGCCTTCAACCCTTCCAGTGATGCTATCCTGCCTTCAACCCCGCACGGGCTCCGTTGTCACCAGACATTTGACACTCCTCACTTGAGCTGTCAGCAGATAACTCATGAGAGGTGCCGGTGAGAATAGATAATTTGACCGGGAAAGAGTAGTAGCTGAAGTAAGGTAAATGGGGGAGTTTCCCATCCTCTACAGCCAGTAGCATCAGGGCCACAAACCTTCTTCCAAGTTCTGCTTTGTTCTTAGTTAACAATGATGGTGTTTGTTGATTAGTTGGTCTATAGTTTCCCCTTGATTTACTGTGCCACATTAACTAGTTGCGTTGTGATTAGAGCAGCTTGATATCATGGGTAAATTTGCTGTAAATGTCTCCGCAATATATTTTTGTTTTGCTGTGATTACCGAAAGGCTTCGTGTTCCAGCGTCTTCGTCGTTGTCAGAAGGAGAGCGCGTACAGGAGCTGGTGTTCCCCTTGGGGAAGGTGGGGACCGTCATCGCTCAGGGGCCGGCAGACGTGACCCCGAAGTCACCCCTCACGCTCTGCCTCTGGATAAAGGCCTCCATTCAGACCTCCGCCTCCAGGATACTCTCCTATTTCCAGGGCAACGCCATCATGTTCATCTCTCGTGAGTAGTGTTTGTTTCCAGCGAGACAGACGGAAAGATTGGCTAAGGCTAATAGACATATAAAAGACCAACGGTATTTAGCTAAAAATACATTATTATAATGGTTAGTAGAATAGGTCGACTCACAGAGCAGAGGGAGAGAATTACTAGCGTGCTTTCTCCAAAATAGGGTCGGGAAGTATGGTGTCGGTGAGGTCGGAGAGGATGACGATCGACGTGCGCACTGTAAATTTCACCCCGCGAGAGTGGCATCACTTGTGTGTCATCCGACAACACTCCCTCGTTCTCCAGCTCTTCCTCGACGGCCGCTCCTTCGTCGGCTCGCTCTACCCTGCCAGAGACAAGGATTTAACAAGAAGGTTGCAGAAGAACTTGCAAGCCATTAATGCTATGGTTCAAAAAGCTAGCACGACAGCAGGCCGCAACTTTACTGAAGTACCTCTAATAGTTCTCGGAGCTTTGGATTCAAAGTTCGATTCCCCCTTCGGCAGATTCGCTGATCTGAGAATCTTCAGGCAAGTCCTCACTGATTCAGAACTGAAAGCCTTGAGAACCTGCAGTAAGTTGACTCCAGCAGGTGATGACATCGAAGTTTTGCACACATCGGAAGCTTTAATCACGAGGACCATCTTGCACCAGTCATTGTGCACGGATGATAAGATTCACGTGGTGACCTACCCGGCCTACACCAGGCAGGAGGAGGCCGAGGACCTTTGTTCCAGGCTGGGTGGCACTCTTCCGGCACCTCAGACGTTCTCAGAATTTACCATGACTGCGGAGATCCTCTCTGAGTACACCAGTAAACCGGAGATGTTCTTTTGGCTCAGTAACTCGACGAACCTAACATCTCTCGGTGTTGAAGAGGGTCAGTGTTGCGCTCAAGACTTGCGCTATGGTGGCAGCTTGCCCATGAGTGCCCCGTGTAAGTCATGGGCCAGGGACTTCGTCTGCTACATTGCTCGTGGGAAGTCTATGTTCCTACTCCACACGGACGATGAGATTGAGCTGTTCTTTGGAGAAGGACAAGAGAACTACTTGTTGCTGAGCGACCAAGGGTTCTCTATTTCCTTCGAGAACAATACCTACGTCATCCGCAACTTGGTTGGTGGTACTTTGGGAGTAATGATTGGTCAACAGATCTCTCAGATCCTCGGGATGAGAGAGTGGACCATGTCCAATCGGGAGACCTCGTCATTAATAACACTGAGCACCTGCCTGACGGAGGAGTTCACCTGCAAGAGCGGCGATTGTCTACCTCTGGAGAAACGCTGCGACAAGTGGCCGGACTGCGAGGACGCCACTGACGAAGACGACTGCAACTACCTCCTGCCTCCACCCGCCACCTACAGGGCCTTCCTCCCGCCCTCAGACAACACCGCCGTCGGCCTCAGTGTTGACATCACCGCCATCCACGACATCAATGTGAGTATAAGATGATTAGACATTCAGTAATGCAAACATGCAAAAATGCACGATTTACATGCAACTTATAAACAAAATACATATATCGACGTTTCAGACTGGTTCTGGGCTCTTTCTCGCGTACATGGATTTCATTACAATACAAAAAAATCAGCTATTGTCAGATCTAATAAAATCATATTGATTTTCATTATTTGTATTTGGAAAAAAATCATAAATTGATTTTCATTATTTGCATTGGGAATTTATTTTTCATAAAATTATTTTTATTGTTGTTATTGTTGTTGTTTTAGATTCAGCTTCTTCTTACTCGGAACAAAAGTTCCAAGTAGCACGGGCTACGGTGATCCCATAGTGGGATTGAGATTTTCATTATTTGCATTGGGAAAAACAATTTCATGAATCGATTTTCATTATTTGCATTGATAACAAAATTTTCATAAATTGAAATCATGTCGAAATCTATTCTGATATCTTGCATCTCGCTTCAGACAAGTCCCTGTCTATATCGCTGTCTCTACAGATGCAAGAAAACCAGTTGGGTATGACCGTGACGGTGGACCTGTGGTGGACAGACGGCCGCCTCACCTTCACCAACATGGGCCTGGGCAGGACGCGCCTGGACCAGGCTATGGGCAAGATCTGGCAGCCCACCATCATCTTCGTTGGCGCCAAGTACGAGGATAACGTCAACCTGCAGAAGGGCATCAACGACATGAGGTTCCTCTACGCGGAATCCTCCTCTAGGGGCTCCCCGGCGATCGTCAATAGCTCCAGAGGTCAGAACAGTCACAATTTTTCCATTCGAACGTTCTTCAGTCGCAAATATTCGATTAATGAACTAGGCTTTGGGAGGCGTACGACCAACCAGATCTCTCTATATTGTACCATCGTCCTTTCTTCCCACAGCTCTGAAGCATAATGGTTGGGACGTGGGGCTCCAGCTCCAAATCATCCTGGACCTGACTATGACCTGCTCATACAACCTGACTCTCTACCCGTTCGACGTGCAGGAGTGTGGGTTGGCCCTCACGCTGGGCACGGAGTTGACCGGCAACACCCACTGGGACCCAAATAAACTCCAGATCGACAAGTCTCTCCCTCAGCCTGCCTTATATGGAGTCTCCAGAGTCCGGTTCAAGAAAAAATCAAATACCCAGGTATAGGGGAGAGAGAGAGAGAGAGAGAGAGAGAGAGAGAGAGAGAGAGAGAGAGAGAGAGAGAGAGAGAGAGAGAGAGAGAGAGAGAGAGAGAGAGGAGAGAGAGAGAGAGAGAGAGAGGAGATGAGAGAGCGAGAGAGAGAGAGAGAGAGAGAGAGAGAGACGAGAGATGAGAGAGGAGAGAGATGAGAGAGAGAGAGAGAGAGAGAGAGAGAGAGAGAGAGAGAGAGAGAGAGAGACATAATCTGTAGTCTGGGGCTGTAGACTAAAATTGTAGTCTGAGGTTGTAGTCTGAGGTAGTAGGTTAAGGCTGTAGGTTAAGGCTGTAGGTTAAGGCTGTAGGTTAAGGCTGTAGGGTAAGGCTGTAGGTTAAGGCTAAGGCTGTAGGTTAAGGCTGTAGGTTAAGGCTGTAGGTTAAGGCTGTAGGGTAAGGCTGTAGGTTAAGGCTTAAAGCTGTAGGTTAAGGCTGTAGGGTAAGGCTGTAGGTTAAGGCTGTAGGGTAAGGCTGTAGGTTAAGGCTGTAGGTTAAGGCTGTAGGTTAAGGCTGTAGGTTAAGGCTGTAGGGTAAGGCTGTAGGGTAAGGCTGTAGGTTAAGGCTGTAGGTTAAGGCTGTAGGTTAAGGCTGTAGGTTAAGGCGGTAAGTTGAGGTGTAGATTAAAGCTGAATTTCTCCAGGTTAGTAACTGTTCTTCCTCCATCAACCGTGTGGCTTCAAGCCATCTATCTGTTAACCGCGTTTGCATGCAGTTCATCAACTGGGCCACATTTAAACAATATCCCTACCTGTCTGGTTTCCTAAAGGTCCTCTACTTCAACCTGGGTTTCTTTAACGCCCCGTGTCCTAATATGAATCTCATTTAACCCTATTGACCTTATCTGGATCTAATTCAACTATCAAACCGCACCTCTTCAAGCCTGGCCTCGACTTCCGTCAGACCTCAACCCTCACTCGAGTTATTTCCAGGTCACGTTCTCTACACCTTAGGTATTTCAAAGGCTCTGTTCCCTAACCAAGGTGTCCTCAAGCTCTATTTCACACACTTGAGGCTTTAAATGGGGTGCCCCCCACACTCTGATGAAATTTATCAGCGCCTTTCCCCCCACAATTGGGTCTTCGGCAGGAAACTCTCTACGCCCATGTTTTGGTCGTAAAGCTTCACCGAACACAAACCAGTCGCAGCAAACAACAGGTGTTTAGCCGTCCGTGGTTAGTCATGCACGCTCCCATCTCCACTGCTACCCGGAGACTCCACTCACGCACAAGTCATTAAGCGAGACATTCGTAACCGCAGACAACCCCCCCAAAAAAGTTGAAACTCTTGAGCCGCTTCCCACTCCTTTCCCTCGTACACTAGATACGAATTGAGAACACACACATCGTGGTCAGTTCGTCACCTAGAACTCGTGAGCACTGTGCGGCTCTCAATGATTTAAGTAATTGGGTGATTAATGCAGGTCAACGTGGGAGGGTGTTGAGCGTGGGTGGGAGGGTGTAGAGAGTGTTGGGTGGGAGGGTGGGAGGGTGTAGAGTGTGGGTGGGAAAGTGGGAGGGTGTAGAGTGTGGGTGGGAGGGTGTAGAGTGTGGGTGGGAAGGTGTAGAGTGTGGGTGGGAAGGTGTAGAGTGTGGGTGGGAAGGTGTAGAGTGTGGGTGGGAGAGTGGGAGGGTGTAGAGAGTGTGGGTGGGGAGGTGGGAGGGTGTAGAGAGTGTGGGAGGGAAGGTGGGAGGGTGTATATTATAATCCCGATGGTTTTCTATTTGTTACGATGGACTGTAACTAGTTGCACAAACAAAACAACGGGGAAGCATTCAAAAAGGTGCACTTCAAATATTGGAAGTGAAAAATAACACTTATTGAAGAAAGCTTCAGACGTAGTTACTGATCTTGACAAAGTTTGACTGAATTCCGTTAACTGTTCCCTAATGCATAGCGGACATGCACTTTACGATATATATATATATATATATATATATATATATATATATATATATATATATATATATATATATATATATATATATATATATATATATATGTATGTATATATATATATATGTATATGTATATATATATATATATATATATATATAATATATATATATATATATATATATATATATATATATATATATATATATATATATATATATATATATATATAAGTGCAGGGTTCAGCAGGTGTTGATGAGGATGGACTTTAACTTACAGGCGATGTAAGAGGAACATTTTAATAATATAATAATTCATTGTGTCGGGGGACAGGCAGCCAGAATATATTTATACAAGTTAGGCTTATATCGAGGCTCCACCCCTTCCAACCCCCCCCCCCCTCCCCCACCCGAGCAAAACACTGCCAGAGACAAGCTAGGAGGCAATCACTTGTGAGTCATGCACATGTTTATTTCTCATAAAGTAGTGGACTCCTGGATTAACGAGCAGAGTACCAATGTTTCGAGGACTGAGTGAATGTTTTCATTAAACATGCAACATTACATTACCCAATCAGAGTACGCCCATCTTGTTGTTGTTGTTATTGATTCAGCTACTTGGAACAAGTTCCAAGTAGCACGGGCTATGGTGAGCCCGTAAACAGTACGCCCATCATCACCCACCCTGCCTTATAACCCTCCCTGCAGATCGAGGTGTTGTTCCTGCTGGAGCGGTGGTTCGGCTCCTACATGCTGACGACGTACCTGCCGTGTCTGATCCTGCTGGTGATCGGCACTTCCACCCTGGCCTACCCCGTGTCTGCCTTGTCAGACCGTGTCATGGTCACCCTCTCCTGCCTCATCGTCCTCGCCTCCCTGCTGGCCCAGGTACGCTACACCTTCTGGGATTGGCTGGTTATAGATAGGAGCTGCCTCGTATGGCCCAATAGGCCTTCTGCAGTTGCCTTTGTTCTTATGTTCTTATGTATGTTCTCCACTTCGTCAGGATGCGTTCAGCCACTCTTATATATTTTTTGTTTTTTTCTTTATTGTTAAAACAATACTATTTTGAAATTATACAATTATGTAAGAAACACCAACTGTTCCTGTTACACAGAACATATAATACAACCAGGAACACCAACATAAACCAGGAACACCAACATGAACCAGGAACACCAACATAAACCAGGAACACCAACATAAACCAGGAACACCAACATAAACCAGGAACACCAACATAAACCAGGAACACACAACATAAACCAGGAACACCAACATGAACCAGGAACATCAACATAAACCAGGAACACCAACATAAACCAGGAACACCAACATAAAGCAGGAACACCAACATAAAACCAGGAACACCAACATAAAACCAGGAACACCAACATAAAACCAGGAACACCAACATAAAACCAGGAACACCAACATAAAACCAGGAACACCAACATAAAACCAGGAACACCAACATAAAACCAGGAACACCAACATAAACCAGGAACATCAACATAAACCAGGAACACCACAATAAAACCAGGAACACCAACATAAACCCGGAACACCAACATAAACCAGGAACACCACAATAAAACCAGGAACACCAACATAAACCAGGAACATCAACATAAACCAGGAACACCACAATAAAACCAGGAACACCAACATAAACCCGGAACACCAACATAAACCAGGAACACCACAATAAAACCAGGAACACCAACATAAACCAGGAACACCAACATAAACCAGGAACACCAACATAAACCAGGAACACCAACATAAACCCGGAACACCAACATGAACAAGCTACATTAAAAGAACTTGAGTAAACATAACTTAACAAGCACATGCAGTACATGGAACATGAAAATGAGTGCAATAAGCAATCCACTTACGTGTACAAAAAATCCCACCATGCGCACACAAAGTGATACATAAAAGGTAACGTGGCAGTACAAGTCACCAATGCAATGCAACAGCATAACGTACAATAGACAAGAAAAACAGAGAATACATTCATACATTAAAAATACACCTTAGCAACAGAACAATTTAGGCGCGGCGCCCGATGCAACCGTCTCCGAGGAGCAGGTTGATGAAGTGGTAGGCACACGAGGAGAGGACACAGTCACCTTCTTCAGCATAACAACCAAATCCTTCTCCTTACGACCACTAGCACCAGAGTCGACGACCCCCCAACCGTGTGTCACGGACGCTGGGGAGCGCACAGCCTGATACCGGTAACAGCGCCACAGGATCTCGCCCCGGCAAGTCCTCGAGCACCGCCTCAGCCAATTCCTCCTCATCCTCCATCTTATCCATAGGGTCCCCACCATTAAGGAACCGCGACCTGGCAGCCCCCCTTCCTACCCTTCAGCCAGGAACCGACTCAACCGCACACGACGGGGCCTGAAGTCGGCGAGACTGCCGAAACCCTCCCACCAGAGAGACAGCCGGAACCGGCACCGAAGACAGTGAGGGAACCCTCACGACCAGAGGCACCACAGGCGGCGCATGCGCACCAGGAACGCACACCAACTCCGTCAGTGCCGGCTCCTGGGGCTCCGGCTTCACCACCACCGCAGGCGGCACATCAAGGACCTCCACCAGTACCTCCGGCACCACACATATCCCACAAACCGGAACACACACACTCCGGCAAACCAGAGCGCACTAAACCCGTCCCCGCCTCCATCTGGAAGCGCCTCACACACCGGCTCAACAACCGGGACGCTAGGAGACAGATGAGCGTCTCCAGCCGCCACAGCCTGCGACGGAAGGGGAGGACTATCATCCTCCCGGAGGATAGTCAGACGATCAGCACACAGCTGCCAGGTGCCCCCCGCTGACCACAGCGAGAACACGTACGGAGCTGCACTTTATACGCGTACCGCAGTGTAAACCCCATTAAGGACAGGAAAGACGGAACTCTGTGTTCCAGGGACATGGTGAGCGTCCTGGTACCATCCTGCAGGCCAGTACATTTGCCAGCATAGACCTTATTCCATCGCACACTGATCACCTTCCCAAACCGACGAAACAGCTTGGTTAAATGCTCATTTACCGCAGTGTTATTCCCAGTCCAGTACAACACCACCTCAGCCCAGTACAACAGCCTAGTCTAGTACAATACCACCACCCTAGCCCAGTACAACACTACCACCCCAGCCCAGTACAACACTACCACCCCAGCCCAGTACAACACTACCACCCCAGCCCAGTACAACACTACCACCCAGCCCAGTACAACACTACCACCCCAGCCCAGTACAACACTACCACCCCAGCCCAGTACAACACTACCACCCCAGCCCAGTACAACACTACCACCCCAGCCCAGTACAACACTACCACCCCAGCCCAGTACAACACTACCACCCCAGCCCAGTACAACACTACCACCCCAGCCCAGTACAACACTACCACCCCAGCCCAGTACAACACTACCTCAGCCCAGTACAACACCACAACCCCGGTACAACTCCACCCCAGCTTAGTACAACACCACTTTCAGCTCACTACAACACCACCCTCAGCTCGCTACAACAGCACCCCAGCCCAGTACAACACCCCAGCCCAGTACAACACCACCCCAGCCCAGTACAACACCCCAGCCCAGTACAACTTCATCCCAGCCCAGTACAACACTACCTCAGCTCAGTACAACACCACAACCCCGGTACAACTCCACCCCAGCTTAGTACAACACCACTTTCAGCTCACTACAACACCACCCTCAGCTCGCTACAACAGCACCCCAGCCCAGTACAACAGCACTGGGGTGTTACTGGAGCAACACCCCAGCAGTACACTTCTACGACAGGGGGGAGACGCGACTAATGGTTAAAGGATCGTGTCCCTGTCGCTCAGATCACCTGAAATCCACTATTGTTCACTCTACCGGGGGAAATAAATACGGGCAGAGTGCTCTCAATCACTCAAGTACTGACATCAACTTACTCAGGGAGGAGTTGATGTCAGTGGTTGGCATCAACTAACTCCTTATTGTCAGTCAATACTTATTACCTGACAATATGGACACTTAAGTTAATAGGTAATAGGTTAAACACCACCTATTTGGGTGTTTGGGCTTACAGCCCCGGTAGGCCCATCACCAAATACAATTAACACACAAAGGAGGGGTTGATGGTTTAAACTTTAGTTTATTTAGGGTTTTAAAATTAAGTTTCCTAACTATAGATCCCTAATAGAGACAAACTGAATTGATGTAATGTTAGAAGGCCAAAAGTGCAGTGCTCATGTTCCCAGCGACTGTGACTAGGCTTGTTGTACGCGATGCTCGTCCCTAAAGGAACTGCAACCGCCCACACCCGAGAGTTCTACCTGTCGGAAATTCCGGCAACTACTACTAACCACTGACCTGCTTAATTAAAATAGGTCAGTCCATTACTAACAATACTAAACTTGTTAAGGAGAGAGATTCTCTAACAACAGTGGGAAGGTATTGCGTCAGCCACACCGGTCAGTACCTAATATTTCTCTTCATAAATTAAAATACTTCCAGTTTTAAGTTGAAATGTTAATGAAGGCATTCATTAAATACTGGATATATTAAATAACGAATCACTAAATGTCCTCTTCCCCAGCTGATAATAAAATCAGATAATGAAATTAGACGCATCCAGAAGGATGGAGGGGGGGGGGGGGTTCACGCCCTGCAGGCGTCAGTAAGCGCATGACTCCCCAGACGTGCGGACTGTGGCGCTCTGCGGCAATTAGTGCCCACTGTTCCCCTTGAGCGTCGCGACACATGATAGCAAAATTCGCCCAACCGACGACCTTTACACCCAGGGAAGTGTTATTCTGGACAACGTTAATAGTATATATTGCTGGCCAGTCGTTATAGCTAATTAGTTGTTACGGTTATAACACAGACATACCCACAAAACTGGGTAAGTCTCATTTTGATTATTAACAACTCTTCTTGAATGTACTATTTATGCCTTGGAGTCAGTTAATTCCTAGTTATTCCTATGCCTTGGAGTCAGTTTATTCCTAGTTAATCCTCCTGGCAGGTACAGTTCAGGAGAAGAAGAGAAGTCGTCGTATTTACCTGTAGTTCCAGAAGAATCCTTAAGTCGCCATTACGTTGTCTACCTACGAGGTACCCAAACTGCGACTGAAGGACAACGAGAGCTTCTTACCAGACCATTACGATATTAGAGCTAAGCTCTCAAATCTTGACATTTATGAGTAGAATACTAACCCATTGGTAGTTAACTAACTTGATAATATTCTATAGTGTGTTATCCTCAGTGAATTTGGGATATAGGCTACGTATTCATAGTAACCCCCTCAATTATGTGTAGAGGGAACACCCAGCAGAAGATCAACTTATTAATACAGTCCACTCAATTTAATAAATAAATTCAACTAATACCTGCTGAGAAAATCCCTAACACTAACTGCTTGTCTGTTCTCAGTCTAAACGTGTTATACACAACCGTATAGGGCATATATGAGGAACTCCAGCATCCCTTGATGTAACATAGTAATCCCCGGCAGATTAACACGACCGCAACATAACTTACAGCATCGTGATCTGCACATTTGACCCGACTTGACCCAGGCCGTTGACCTACTAGCCCTTGTTAGCGCCTGTCTCAGGTGTGGAGTCTATTGTACACGGCAGACTGCTGGTCACTTCACCCAAATTCGTTTATCTGTTAACTGTTCAGCTGTTTTATTGTGTACTGCTCCAGTAACCTCATCTTTACCTGCATTACCTTACCTGCATTACCTCACCTATATTACTTTACCTGCATTACCTCACCTATATTACTTTACCTCACATTGCATTACCTCACCTATATTACTTTACCTGCATTACCTCACCTATATTACTTTACCTGCATTACCTCACCTATATTACTTTACCTGCATTACCTCACCTATATTACTTTACCTGCATTACCTCACCTATATTACTTATATTACCTCACATTGCATTACCTCACTATATAATAATTTCCCGTATCGGGAACATGATTAAACCAGTGTTTAGGTCTAACGAGGTCCCCGCCCCCCCAGGCCAACTATTGACCTTCCCCAGGATGTAACCCCACAACAGTTGTCTAACTCCCCCAGTACCGATTTACTGCTGGGTGGAGAGAGGCATCAGGTGAAAGAAAACCCACACAACCGCTTCTGCCCCACTCGATAATGTATCCCGGGTTGTGAGTGGAGGGCGTAGACTACTGTGCAACAGGGCTCCGTTGTTGTTTAAGCTTCAGCTACTGGGAACAAAACGTTCCGAGTAGCACGGGCTATGGTGAGCCCGTAGTGGACTTATCTGGCATAGGAGCGGGGCTGTAACTCAACAGGGCTCCCTATAACCCCCCATGTAAGGTGAGGATGGAGACTCACGTCACACCTCTCCCGCAGGCCAGCGCCACCCTCCCGGAGTCGGCCAGCTCCAAGGCCATCGAAGTCTGGTTCTCCTACACAATAACCCGCATGTTCCTCGTGTCTGTGGTCCACACCGCTGTCTACCGCTCCAACCAGCAGGTACAGGTGTAGTGAGGTGTACCCGGGTCGTGTACCTGGGTGTGGTGAGGTGTACCCGGGTGTAGTGAGGTGTACCCGGGTGTAGTGAGGTGTACCCGGGTGTAGTGAGGTGTACCCGGGTGCAGTGAGGTGTAGGGAGGTGTACCCGGGTATGGTGAGGTGTTGGGAGGTGTACCCGGGTGTGGTGAGGTGTTGGGAGGTGTACCCGGGTATGGTGAGGTGTTGGGAGGTGTACCCGGGTGTGGTGAGGTGTACCCGGGTGTGTTGGGGTGGTGGTGCGGGTGTAGAGTGGGTGTACTGAGGGGTATAGAGCTGGTGGTGAGGTGTTGTGGGGTGTGGCAGTAAAGGTGTTGTGTGGTGGATATGGTAGCATTTTAGGCTTATCTAAGGGTCAATAGGCTGTTAAATAACTATCCCCAGAATGCTTCCCCCCCAAAAAAAAAAAAAACTTGCCTAAACCATTATTACTAATTTTCTGAAAGGTCAACAGGTATAACGAAACTTGCCCAAACGTCTCGCCTTGCTCGGGAATCGAACCCGGGACCATTCCGTTGTAAGCGGAGTGCGATAAGATAATTGAGGGTGACGCAGACAGAACTTCAGAAGGTCGAAAAAATCAAATGAGAAACGTTGGTGTAAACAGATAGATGTAGATGAAGAAGATATATATTTACTCTGCTTAGATGTACACTGAAGTGTATCTGTAAACGTTTGAGCAACATAGACAGTGGAATAGAAGTAACAGTTGCACATATCTTGACGAGTGTTTATGAAGCTAGTTGTGTGTGATTAGAGCTAGTTGTACAATCAGTAGCTATGTTTTAACATATATGACAGCCAAGTATTGAAATCGGAGCACTAATGCAATTCTCCCTCTCTGGTCCAGTTCAATGTGTCGGCAGCCCAGGAGGCGGAGGCATCGTCTAGATCCTCATCGTCCTCTGCCACCTCCCAGCACCTGCTCTCGAAAGCTAGGGTGGCGTGGATGGCTCCCTCGACCACCCACACCACTAAACAGAAGCAACCAACCTTCACCGTAGCCCAAGATCCAAGCCACACTGCAACCACTCCCTCACCAGCTCTTTTACCCGCTTACAAGCCCACTTTCCCGCCAACCCATAAGCCCAGCCCTCAGAAAGCCCACTCCTCCATCTCGCCCTCCCAGCGCATCAACCGCTTCGGCCTCATCCTGGGCGTCAATCTCGATCTCTTGTTTTTCGCCATCTACATCTCTTACGTTGTTCTCGTCAGAAGAGCAATTTTTGCAAGCATCTCCTAATAGTGACTCCAAACCGAGTGGTTGAATATATTGAGTTAACTGCATCAGATCATGGGTGCATCAGTAATGCTTAAATCGTCACTAATGATTGTCCGGTAACCTTCACCTGGAATAAGAAGGCGATGTTTATGGAAAGAAACTCGACAAATTTAGATGAGATACCAGAGGCCAGCTGTTTGTAGTTGAGTCCAAGAGTTGGAGAGGGTTAACTATAATTTTCTGAAATGGCGGCCCAATGAGTGCAATGTTGGAGCTGCTGGTAAGCACCAAGACAGGTCTCAGTGGTGATCCTGTTAATAATTGCTAATGAAGCAGGGAGATGACTGAGTCGGGTGAAGCAAGAGGTGTGTTGGGACGAGCAGGGTAGCATCATGGTAGAGGCTTCTGAAGGCGCAGAGTATCCCACCGCTGCCACCAGTGTTATCAAATCAAACATTTGTTTCCAAAAATGTTGTTTTGATCATAAAATTGTTCTCATTAATTAATTTTCTTCTAGTGAATAAAGAAACATTTTCCAAGGCCATGGCTCTGAGCACATCTTACCTGTCATAGGAACTTAAGAACCGAAGAAATAGTAGAAGACCTATTGAGCCATATGAGGCAGGTTATCTTGAGGTTATCTTGAGATGATTTCGGGGCTTTTTAGTGTCCCCGCGGCCCGGTCCTCGACCAGGCCTCCACCCCCAGGAAGCAGCCCGTGACAGCTGACCAACACCCAGGTACCTATTTTACTGCTAGGTAACAGGGTCATAGGATGAAAGAAACTCTGCCCATTGTTTCTCGCCGGTGCCCGGGATCGAACCCAGGACCACTGGATCAAAAGTCCAGTGTGCTGTCCGCTCGGCCGACCGGCAGCTCCATATATTTTTAACAACTTTTCCTTTGTCTAACCTGTGCTTGAAACAATGCAGACAATACATGTCAGTGATGTTACCTGTCAACTTGGGTTAGGTCAACCTATTCCATGATGAAGAGCACTGTTTTGAAACTGGTATTTACCAATCTATATTTTAATGTAAAGTTATACACTATGTATCCATTGTTTCATGTACTAATTTATTATGTTGATATATTTAGCCCCAGTTAATATTCCCATTGTTATACCATTATATCCATTTGTATTCCTCAGTCATATCCTCTGTATATACTTCAGTCATGTATTTGTGATATACGATGTTAAAGCACAGTAGCTGTTACATTAAGTAATGTTCAAGTAGAATTGTGAGCAGCCAATAATCTTCCTGAAGATGGTCTTCTCCTCGTTGATGAAAATTCTTTTCTCTATATTTTCATGTCATTATTTATCATAACTAACCTCATTAAATCTTCATTATATTAAGTTAAAACCTCATTTCTTCAACACCCTAACAGTTTGGTGTAGGCGTTCCTGAAGCTTGTTCTTCGTCTTTCTTGTGTGTTGATTAGTTTTGCAACACTTTACTCTCTCTTCCCTTTCTTAATTGAGACCAGAAATGCTGCTAGCATTCCAGAGAGAGCGCGAGCGAGCGCGTCAACCCCGCAGCAGTCGGGTCAACTGCCTCAGGAGGCGAGGTCTTGCCAGCGAGCAGGTAATCTGGAGCAACATTGTGAGGTACAGTTAGGGGCGGCCAACAGGTGGGGCGAGCTCCGCAGGGGCCCCCACAAGGTGATCCAGGTACAGATGCGGTACACTGCTTCCGTCAGCACCCTCATCTGTCAAGGCCGAGGTTACTCGCTCGCTCTCACACCTCACCTCTCCCCCCATCCCTCTCCCATGCACACACCCTCATGGGAGGGGGGGCAGTGACCGGAGCAAGGGAGGCCACTGAGACACGGAGAGGATGCGAGAGAGAGAGATGAGAGAGACAGAGAAGAGGTCTCTGTTCTCTAAGAATGGTTCCTGAATTCTCGATATGGGCTTAAGGTAATTGCCAGAAGTGCTAGGCCAGTGTCAGTAGCACACTGGAGGAGTATAATGAAAACTTCGATGCTTAACCACATGGAGCATCGGAGATCGAACGCCGACCCGCAAGAAGCGAGGTTGCCGCTTTAAAGACCCGCCAAAGTGGCTAAATGATTAAACGACGTTATTATTAAACATCGAACACGCGCTTTACCGGCGGTGAGGTATTTCCTCACCTCACCTCCCTCACTCTCACCTCACCCTCACCTCACCTCCCTCACCCTGCCCTCACCCCTCACCTCACCTCCCTCACCCTGCCCTCACCCTCACCTCTTGCACTCAGCCACAGAGTGGTAAAGTGCACCTCACCCTTTGTGAGGTTCAGCGGCACCCGAGTCCACCCGGGGCATCCGTGTCAGCCATCCGGCAGTTGTGTCAACCATCCAGCAGCTGTGTCAACCATCCAGCAGCCGTGTCAACCATCCAGCAGCCGTGTCGACCATCCGGCAGCCGTGTCGACCATCCGGCAGCCGTGTCGACCATCCGGCAGCCGTGCTGACCATCCGGTAGCCGTGTCGACCATCCGGCAGCCGTGTCGACCATCCGGCAGCCGTGTCAACCATCCGGCAGCCGTGTCAACCATCCGGCAGCCGTGTCAACCATCCGGCAGCCGTGTCGACCATCCGGCAGCCGTGTCGACCATCCGGCAGCCGTGTCAACCATCCGGCAGCCGTGTCAACCATCCGGCAGCCGTGTCAACCGTCCGGCAGCCGTGTCAACCGTCCGGCAGCCGTGTCAACCATCCGGCAGCCGTGTCAACCATCCGGCAGCCGTGTCAACCATCCGGCAGCCGTGTCAACCATCCGGCAGCCGTGTCAACCATCCGGCAGCCGTGTCAACCATCCGGCAGCCGTGTCGACCATCCGGCAGCCGTGTCGACCATCCGGCAGCCGTGTCGACCATCCGGCAGCCGTGTCAACCATCCGGCAGCCGTGTCAACCATCCGGCAGCCGTGTCAACCATCCGGCAGCCGTGTCAACCATCCGGCAGCCGTGTCAACCATCCGGCAGCCGTGTCAACCATCCGGCAGCCGTGTCAACCATCCGGCATCCGTGTCAACCATCCGGCAGCCGTGTCAACCATCCGGCAGCCGTGTCAACCATCCGGCAGCCGTGTCAACCATCCGGCAGCCGTGTCAACCATCCGGCAGCCGTGTCAACCATCCGGCAGCCGTGTCAACCATCCGGCAGCCGTGTCAACCATCCGGCAGCCGTGTCAACCATCCGGCAGCCGTGTCAACCATCCGGCAGCCGTGTCAACCATCCGGCAGCCGTGTCAACCATCCGGCAGCCGTGTCAACCATCCGGCAGCCGTGTCAACCATCCGGCAGCCGTGACGACCCGTCCCCACCACAACCCGTCCCCACCACAACCCGTCCTCACCACAACCCGTCCTCACCACAACCCGTCATCATCACAACCCGTCCTCATCACAACCCGTCATCATCACAACCCGTCCAAATGCTCCCCAAACCAACTGTTTATAAATTAAAAAACGTTTTTCTCTCGTCTCCTTAACTCACGTTGGAACATTTCTGGCAGAGTGCCTCGCTCACCTGTTCATATCGTAATTGTGAACATGTTACCTAGCGGTAAAATAGGTACCTTGGTGTTAGTCAGCTGTCACGGGCTGCTTCCTGGCGGTGGAGGCCTGGTCGAGGACCGGGCCGCGGGGACACTAAAGCCCCGAAATCATCTCAAGATAACCTCAAGATAACCTCAAGATGTTCCACCCGCCTTGTTCAATTGCACATAACTGGCCAGGGGGAACACCACCGCCTCACGTCACCAGTCCGTGTATTTCTTCGTGTTTGGTTTTTCTTAACCAGACACATCTTGTGTACTTCATTCTTCTTTCTTCGTTCATTGAATTGCGATTCACTTCCCTGGAAACACAAACCGAAACTGTCTCTATTTTCCGCTTGTTACAACTTGTAATAAAGTTGTTACATCTTGGCTTAACGTGTTTATGACGTATTAGAACGTTGTTACAACTTGTTATATTGGTTGTTATAACTGGTTAGGAAGTGTTAAAACTTGTTCGAACGTTGTACCAACGTCGTAGTTTCGGTGTGTGTGTTTGGCGGGTTGGACCATGAGAGGACTTGGACCGCAGACCACATAAACAGCAGCTCCACCTACCGTACGATACAGTGTTTATCACTCCACATGTTGTTTACATGCCGCATATAGCATTAATGTACAGTGATGTGTTTTATCACTATCAGCTCCTCCTCCGTGTCCATCTACAAGATGTCTGTCGCGCGACGCCATAACTGTTCTTGTCTTGCCTCCAGGATAACCATTCACTCTTTATAGCAGCTTTATCGATTGATACATGTATCTAATATGTCGTTATCATATCTTCTCAGTTCGGTTTCTCTTCAAGTGGTACGGTGTGTGTGTAATTACCTAAGTGTTGTTACCTGAGTGTAGTTACAGGATGAGAGAGCTATGCTCGTGGTGTCTCGTCTTCCAAGTGCTCTTTGTTAAATAACGCATTGAAACTACTAAACGGTTTTGGCCTCCACCACCTTCTCACTTAACTTGTTCCAACCGTCTACCACTCTGTTGGCGAAAGAGAACTTTCTAATATTTTTTTCGGGAACTTTGTTTCCTTAACTTGAATATGTAACCTCTTGTTCTTGAAGTGTGTGTGTGTGTGTGTGTGTGTGTGTGTGTGTGCTCACCTATTTGTGCTTGCGGGGGTTGAGTTCTGCTCTTTCGGCCCGCCTCTCAACTGTCAATCAATTAACTGTTACTAACTACTAATTATTTTTTTCTCCACACACACACACACACACACACACACACACACACACACACACACACACACACACACACACACACACACACACACACACACACACACACACACACACACACATACACACACACACACACAAAAGAATGTAGATGTAGAAGACATCGAGCAGTTGGAACATGAAATACCACTAGGAGCTAGTGACCATTGTGTCCTAGTCTTTGACTACATGATGGAGCTTAAAATTGTGACCAAAGGACAAGAGGTCCGGGAAAGGAGACTTGATTACAGAAAAGGGGACTACAGAAGGATAAGGGACTACCTGGGAGAAGTGCAGTGGGAGGAAGAACTTAGAGGAAAAACAGTGCAAGGTATGATGAACCAAGTCATATTGAAATGCAAGGAGGCTGAAGATAGATTTATTCCAACAATAAAGGAAAAAAGCAGGAGGGAATATAATAACCCATGGTTTAATAGACAGTGTCAGGAAGCAAAGGTGAGAAGCAGGAGGGAGTGGAGGAAGTACAGAAGACAAAGGACAGAGGACAACAGGATTAGATGTAACAGAGCTAGGAATGATTACATTAACATAAGACGAGTGTCGGAAAGGAATTATGAGAACGATATTGCAGTCAAAGCGAAAAAGCAACCAAAATTACTACATAGCCATATAAGAAGGAAGATGTCGGTAAATGACCAAGTGACAAGACTGAGGAAAACAGAAGGGGCATATACAGAAAGCGACAAGGAAATCTGCGAGGTACTGAATGCAAAATTCCATGGAGTGTTCACAACCGAGCCTGAGCAGCTTCCATTGTTAGAAGAGATTACCCAAGATGAAAGACTATCGGATATAGAGGTGACAGCAGAGGATGTAATGAAACAGTTGACAACACTGGATGCAAATAAAGCTGTTGGACCAGACAAAGTATCACCGTGGATACTCAAAGAGGCAGCGCAGGCTCTCAGCGT